TCCGAAAAACGCATAAAGTATCCGAAGAATGCAAAAAATTCCGGCGCCAAGAGGATCCGATCCGCAAACCTTCTCCGTAAGAGCCGACCGCACTATCCACTCCGCCATCCGCCGACCACGAAACACTGGTTGCGGGAGTCGTTGAAGTAACTTCGGTACTACTTTTCTCCATGCACTTTCTTTTTGACTTTATTTTGCTCTCTTTTCGATACATAGTGAAGGAACACCTCATAAACTATGCACTCTCAAAGTTACAGCTACAACAGAGCCCAATAAGACGGTTAAAATCGCCCTTTCTTGTCAAATTGTTTTCACTCAGTTTTTGACCTCCCCAGAAACGCATAGCAAAAATGAAACCCATTTTGTAATCCTTGTATGGACCCCTACAACAAGCAACAAACCATTTTTAAAAAGCGCGCCACGACCTGAAAGACCTCCCTTGTTAGAAGGGGAATGCAACCAAATGCATAAGGCGCGTCACAGCAAGGGTGGAGCGTTGGTTCCGAGAAGTGATACCGGGAGCAGGATGGGAACAATATTGGTGCGTGGGAGAAGTGATAGCAGCTGACAAGATAGGAGAGGAGGCTTCAGGAGGGAACCAAGTTCATAGCGCGGGCCACAACTGTAGAAAGTCGCCACCAAGAGGCAAGATAGGGGACAGGATAGGAACATTATTGGCGGAAGCCAGGAACTGATAGGAGCTGATAAGATACCGCAGCGGGACTCAGAGAGAGAGTCACCAACTTCATGGTGCGAGCCACAGCAACTGTAGAACGTTGGTTCCAAAAAGCAAGATAGGGCAGGAGGGCAATATTATTGGTGGGTCGCGGGAAGTGATAACAGCTGGTTAAAGTAATAAATGGGTTGAAGGATAAGGTCTTCGTCATTGTGCAATCCCGATGTGGAATGCAGCACGCATTCTACTTCCATTCAGAATGGCGGCTTATTGAAAGCAATGTCGGCCTATACAATGACTTGCGTGGCCGGACAATATGCAACTTAGTGTTCCTATCATTGCAGACAAATCTGGTACCAAGTTGCAATCCCCAGGGGGGAGAAGGCTGGTTGGTCTGGGCCAGAGCCAATCCCTCCCGTGGTACGTGTCACTAAGGAACACTGTCTCATGAGACAGCTTGAGCTCATTTTAGGCAGCTGGAGACTTCGACTAGATAAGAGTGCAAAACGAAGAAGACTCGGCTCCGTTCCCAACGCTCCGATTCCGCGGTCTCCTACTCTAATTTACGCCACGGAGGCTTGAACTTCACAAAAGCAGGATGAAGATGTGCCATCGTCATTCAATGCGCTATCGAACGAACGATGCGCCGAGTTTCGCGCTACACGCCTTTGAAAGAAGAAATCTGGAGCCCGCACTCCGTGGGCGATCGAAGATCAGGTGGTCTAGGACGTCGAGGATGACCGCTGGACCAGAGCGATTACTAACTGGATTCCACGGGATGTCAAGCGAACACCTGGACGACCGCCTACGCGATGGTCAGACTTCTTCGTGAAAGCTCTGAACGAATGGTATGAAGTTCATCGTGTCCCTCGAGCATAGAGAACCTAGGCAACCCTAGAACGTTGCAGGGACGAATGAAGACGTCCCTGGTGCCCGTTTGAGCAACGCGATTATAAACGAGAGCGCAGGTGACAGGTGAAATATACATCGCGCAGAGTACCCTTTCGGTTTCGATAACGAGCAACTGCGGCCACTAAGTTCTGAGCCTTCGTTTTGAGTTGAGAGTAGCGTCAAATGGGAGTGTGTAAGCATTTCTAAATCCCCAATAATTCCCCATACCTACCGTGGATGTTCGTGCATATATTCATTTTGCTCAATCGAGTCCACTAAGGTGGGTCCGATTATTTTTACGAAAGGTCGAAATCGGGGTATTTGGATCAGCTGGACCAACCCTAAATCGTCATAAGAAGCATTGCTTCATAAACAACCTATTGTTTGCCTATAGGGGTAATCGATGGTCCTGATCACGATTCTGACACTTATTCTTGACGTCAACCCAATCTGGCGTCAGAATGGCCCTGCAAGTCCCTCAGAATGTACATAGCGACTCCAGTGGGAGAAAGACGTGGCTCCAAATTGGAGGATAAATGGCACTAGAGCTGAAAGTAAATGCCATAGTCGTGATC